ATGTATGTATGTATGTATGTATGTATGTATGTATGTATGTATGTATGTATGTATGTATGTATGTATGTAGAGAAGGAAGAAGAGAATTGGGAAGAGGAAGAGGAAGAGGAAGAGGAAGAGGAAGAGGAAGAGGAAGAGGAAGAGGAAGAGGAAGAGGAAGAGGAATAGGAAGAGGAATAGGAAGAAGAAGAGAAAAAGGAAGAGAAAGAGAAAGAGAAAGAGGAAAGGGAGGAAGAATAAGTGAAATAGAAAAAAGAACAGGAAGAGAAAGAAGAAGAGAAAGAGGAAGAAAAAGATGAAGAGGAAGAGGAAGAGAAAGAGAAAGAGGAAAAGGAAAAAGAGGAAGAATAAGTGAAAGAGAAAGAGGAAGAGAAAGAAGAAGAGAAAGAGGAAGAGGGTTAGAAAGAGGAAGAGGAAGAGGAAGAGAAAAAGGAAAATGAGGAAGAATAAGAGGAAGTGAAAGAGGAAAAGAAAGAGGAAGAGAAAGAGGAAAAGGAAAAGGAGGAAGAAGAAGTGAAATAGAAAAAGAAGAGGAAGAGAAAGAAGAAGAGGAAGAGAAAGAAGTAAAGGAAGAGGAAGAGAAAGAATTAAAGGAAGAGGAAGAGGAAAAGGAAAAGGAAAAAGAAAAGGAAAAAGAAAAAGAAAAAGAGGAAGAATAAGTGAAAGAGAAAGAAGAAGAGGAAAAAGCCAAAAAAGAGGAATAGAAAGAGGATAAGTAAGGGGAAAAGGATGAAATTAAAGAAGAGGGAGGTGGCAAAGGAAGGTGAGGGGAGAAGTTGTAGTAGAAGGCGGCGGCAAATGAGAGCTGGTAGGATGGACGGATGTAGTAGTTGGGTGCATTTGTCCGTCGGACTGCTCGACAGAGACCCTCCTTCGAATACTTGCCCGCTGCTTGCTATTCTTCCTCTTAACTGGCGCCAATCGAGCTCGCGGTCCGAATCCGCCCGACTCCGCCCGACTCCGTCGACCAATGCCGACCCCATCTCGGTTCCGGCCAAGACTGTCCGACCAGTCTGCCTCTTGCGCACAGCCTCCCAGCGACTCCGAGCGCTCCCACAGTGCCCAAGTGACGCCACCACGTCGTCATGGTAGTTGGGCTAATTCGATTAGCCGAAACTACACGACCAGGTCCCACGAAGGCTTGGCAACAGGGCAATTTCTGTTGCTGGCCTGACTGGCAGTTGAAATTGGGCGTTTTTTCAACGTGTACACAATTGAGAAAGCTTTCTGCCCAACCCGGCCAGTCTGTCCGGCTCTGCGCCCCTCTTCTCCTCGAGACCCTCCTTTCGTACCACGGCGCCTGCGCGGCGAAACACACACGCGCC